CTTCGTATTTGCAACGCAAACGTTTGCCACGAATTTAAACTGACCTCGTTAACGCTTCTGTAAAGGAAGCTTTACAGTTCTTCTTTTAAATGTTTCTTGAGACAAGAATGATTTGATTTAGTGCGTTTGTTAGTGTACGAGCACGCGCAATGCGCGTCATAGAGATAGCATTGATTTTCAAACGGAATATCTTTTTTCAGATTCGATCGAACGACCTGAATTTTTATTTCAATGGTTTAATTATTCGAATTGTTCTGTGACGTTGTTCGCCGCGCAACAATTTTTCATTTATTTGTTGCATGGCTGTGGTAATTTTCGCGCAGATAAAACAGAGACTACTAATGCAATACCTCGAGGATAATCATGCCACTGTGTCCGTGATCATGTTCACAATTCTATAGCAAATTTTATTTTATTTTATTTTATTTTACTTTATTTTTCTCGTGCATGCTGTACACTCAGGTTTTCATTTCATCTCTAAAATGTTGAAAATCGATTTATACTCGATCAATTCGTTCTTCTAGCTGTGCTATTAAAGAAAAAATTGTTAACTAAGGTTTCTACGAGTCAACGAGGTATACGCTGCTGATTTCGTCGACCAAAAAAATCTATAATTGATATCACCGTTGGGGTTGTTTTTCTGTTTTATCGACGGAAATGCAGTTTCCTTAGTTCGCAGCTCGTCTGTGCCACTTCGTCCGGAATTTTTCGATCAATACCGCAACGTTTCTTTCTCCGCAGAGTGCATCCTGCACGACGGTAGATGTCACGTTAAGGTAATTACCACTTTGCTGATTTGACAAAATTCTAATTTCAAAACTGATGTAAAGGGGTTAAGCTCGCGAGGGGTTGCGCTGTTCGCTAGCGCAAGTCTACACCTGCGTGGCAGCAATTTTCCGCCTCTGACGTAAACAACGCGTCATAATCGCTATACGAAAATAGTAAAAAACGTCATAGTCACTACGAAAAAAAATTTATGCGTTTTAAGGGGCACGAAAACACAGTACAATCTCGCGAACATACATATCTAACATAAACATCGAGATATACAAGGGATTTCATAATCTGTATATACGGGGTGTCCCAAAATTGTGGTATTTCCGGGAAATGAGGGGTTTCTGAGGTTATTTGAAGTAACTTTTTCCTCGGCAAAAATGCAATCCGCGGCTTCGTTACTAACGATGTTATTAACGAATTATTAACGAAAAACATTGACCAATGAGAGGCCAGCTCTGATCGAGCATTTAATGGACTTTTAGTTATATGACGTTTTAATCTTATTTTTGCTCGTTGCAGTAGTCTGTTAGTCTTTTTTTTACACTACAATACGTCACTACAATACAAAATTCATATTATTATAAAGTTTTCAGGGGTTCATAATGATCTCAATATCTTTAATCTTCATTTACACTTGAATAAAATAATTTACACTCCCATTTCTATGGGGCACTTGGTGGAGTGTAGATCCAAATACACGTAGATCCAAATTATATAACGATATATAAAAGTTTGATCCGCTTAAGGGATTCAATATTGCCTTCCTTTCACCCTTCCAAACCATTCCGCACACTCAAACCCGGAAGAGACCAACTCTGTGCAGCCCGACTAGCATTGGATCTTAGGAACCCTACTCCTAATGACGTCACGATAGCCGAAGCTAAGCTTCCATCCCCTGGAATTACGTTCTATATTCCCAAGATAGAAAGTACTTCGCGAAAATTGCAGTTAATCCGACCCACTTTCTGTACAAATCAATCGACATTAATTGTAGTCCCTTTCGCAACCCTAACATACATTCATACATAAAAAAATCTCAATTGTTATAGGATAAAAATCTTGTATACTTTTTCGAAGTTTTCTCAATTTAAGAGGAAACGAAGCTTCGTTTGTAATGATGCATTACACAAGATTACGCGGAGAAGAAGAAAAGAAAAATTGCTAAAATTCGATTGCGATCCCTTTCTTTTTATTTAACTCATTTAATGTCACATCTGCTGAACAGCAATTAGCGACCACTTGTGGGATAACATTTGTAGGGTGCAGTGCAATATATGCAATATTTTTGCATCACATTTTTCCATTATCTTCTTAATCTAGGCCTATTAAGTTACATAGTAATTTCGCTATTATACAGCTATTATATTCGCCATTATTCCGCTATTATATATTTCGTAATTATACAGTAATTTCGCGAAACATCGATTGCAATCTATTCGCGAACGCGATTATATTTCTCGATGCGTGAGAACAGAGAGCGCGGAGCATAATATCCGCGAAACACCGAATACGGTGGACAATGGTAAACTGAAATTCTTTTGCAGTTCTTATTGTCGAGGCTTCCCGGTGTAAATCGCGTCCTTTCGGACGAATCGCGTCCCAATGCAAGCAATTAGTCGACTCGAGTAGCTTCATTAGGAGTCGAGTGACACGCTGATACCCCCGATGAAGCTAGCTGCAATGCTTGGGAAACGTTGGGACAGTTCTTCCGAAAGGGTACGGCTTAACCGGAAAGCTTCAACAATAAGAACTATAAAAGAATGACTGATACTGGTATTAGTGTGCCACTTGGTCCCTGATGAAACTGGCTGCAATGTTTGCGAAACGCTGGGATAGTTTCTCCGGAAGGACACGGCTTACGTCCGAAAGCTTGAATAGTAAGAACTCTATGATGATGCTCGGCCATAAAGGACTCAAATTCCTAATTCTTCTGGTAATATACTAGGTAATATACTAATATATACTAATATATACTAATATATACTAATATATACTAATATATACTAATATATACTAATATATACTAATATATACTAATATATACTAATATATACTAATATATACTAATATATACTAATATATACTAATATATACTAATATATACTAATATATACTAATATATACTAATATATACTAATATATACTAATATATACTAATATATACTAATATATACTAATATGTACTACTATATATATACTAATATACTAGTATACAGTAATGTCTCTCTAATTGACGCCCAGATTGGCCACAAAAGTGGACAATATGGGAAGAGGAGATACGATTATTCGAGCCTTGCGGTTTATTTTTATAGTTATAAATTGTTCACAATTAATATATTAATAATAATATATTATATTATAATCTATATTTAATCTATATTATCATCTATATATTATATAGAATAATCGAATCTCCTCTTCCCAAATTATCCAATTTAGTGGACAATCTGAGCGTCAGTAAGGGAGACATTACTGTATCGAGTTTAATTAATTTATTACTTCGCGTCCGAGTAAAACCAAAACTGCGGTGCACTTCTGCCACTCGAAGTGCATCGAATTATTGACCAGCAGTGATATGATTCAAATATAACAGTTTCATCGCGCATCCATTACGTGACATTTTCTTATCTCTTGGATTTCAACGAATTACAGTAAATTCTCTCCAATTATCCCTCAGCTTGTAGACATTATTGTATATAATAATTTATCATATATTGAAGTGTAATTATGTAATGGTCAATAAATTGGTTTATTTAGCTATGACGTGTAATTGTGTAACTGGTTTTATTACATATTTCACATTATTTATATAATACACGCATCTCTCTCTCTCTCTCTCTCTCTAGGTATTTCTATCTTTATATTTTATTATTATTATTATTATTATTATTATTTATATTATTCTCTAGGTATTTCTATAGTGATCTTCTTCATTTGTGACAAATAAATAGCAATTATTATGTATAAATAACCATAAACAACTAAATCAAATCAACGCGGATCAGTTAACACGAATTGATGTTAGTTAAATAATTAATAAAATCTTCCTCTAATAAATAAAATAGAAATAAAAATAAAAATAAATTATCTTTAACAAAAGAAACAATGGTTTCGTAATCAAGTTACGTTTTACGTGTTCTCTATTTAAATTATTAATTATACTTTAAGTTAATCAGCGTTCATCGCAGTTACGTTCATTAAAGTACACGCTGAAAATACCGAAACGCCAAAGCCAGTTTTTATAATAACCATCCTGAAAGTGTAACCAACGTTAATGAGCGCACAATCGGCCGCCGCATAATCGCCGCCGCCAGCCTCTACGCAAATAGTATCCTCATTCTATTTTGACCCACGCGGTAGCATAGCGATCGGAAGGGCGGGCGAGGGGGAAAGGGAGGTAGGGGAGGGCGCACCACGTGGCATATTGAAAGTTCGAGTTTTCCAAAGCGCAAGCCCGTCACGCAAGTTTGGGTTCGCCGCGGCACGAATCGATGCTGTACTCCGGCTGTTCATTCATCCCTATCTGAAATAACTTCGCATTGGCTCAGAATAACGACGTTGTATTCTCGTACGGTAATTTACCTCGACCGATCACCGAAACCCTTTCGAAATCGTGTGCTAGAACATCACAAGCTTTTCTCTGTCCAAACGTCAAACCATTTCACTCGACAACAAACGTCACCCCCCGTCCCCGTGGTCTCCGTAAAACTCCAGCCGCGATAGTAAACGTCGCGATTCTGCTTGGTAATCGCGAGCTTTCGAGAACACGAGTCTCTCCAAGCTCTCCTCGAGAAGAAGACAAAAGCGCTCGGTCTCTCGATAAGACAACAGCGGATATCTCTCTCAGCCACGGATCATCAGGCTCTAACGGAGCTTTATCTATCACGGAACGGCTGGCCGAGGTCCCGGGACCGAACAGAAAGAATCTAAGACGAGGACGATGGTACCCCTCGGACCACACGGGAAGCAATCCGCAGCGCAGCCGCTTTGACAACAGAGGCGCCACGTGCATGTGTGCGCCGCGCTTCTACGAACCCGAGCCCAGAGGGGAGAGGGAGAGAAAAGCTCTCCGTGGAGAACGGAGAGGCGGCGTGCCGCGTTGACAGACCGAGAGAGAGCGAGGGAGACAGGCGCATCGGTAGGGCGAGAAAGGGAGGGGCGAGCGTCGGCGAGATCGGGGGCGGGAGAGCGAGGGGTGGCGGAACGCGAGAGAAAGTTGGTACGGTGTGCCGCAGTACGGGGTGGCGAGCTGCGAGATAGCTGCGAGATAGCTGGGAGATAGCTCCTCGCACGGTGGAAAATCAGCGGCGCGGAGAGGGGCCCGCCTGCGACGAACCGCTGTAACGAGACGTTACAGGGGAGCCACAGAAGTTACAGCCTCGGCCGCCTCTCTGTTCTCCGCCATTTCCGTTGCCCGAAATCCTCCTGTGTCCTCTGCTGGTCGATCACGAGCTTTCGAGACCAGCTGACGGTGTCGGTTCAAGGACAATCCGACGTTTCCCCGGCTCCTCGGGGACGGTCCGAACGTTGCACATTCGAGCATCGTGGTTGCGTGTGCCCGTGATGCGTGCGGATCCACGGAGTGCAAGCTGTGCGATGTCAAGGTTAATGCGGTAACGCGTGTCGATACGTTTCTTCGCCGGCTTGTCATTATTCGACAGTATTGGTTGGTTCGTTCGGCGGGTTGGAACACTGGAACACGTCCAGGGATCAGCGGAGCTGTCGCCGGAAGCGGATCAGCTGATTTCAGCGTCGACGTGGACTGGCCAGTCGGTGGACAGTTTGATGAATGACCTGTTCGGTGACGGTCGATCCGTGAGTGCTCTCGTTCGTGGGAGGAAGTTCGCGGATCCCGAGGAGGGCTCGCGTTGTTCGGTCACGCCGGAGGATGCAGGATTCCCCGTCGAAGCGGAGGCGAGCGAGGACGACGATATAGACGACGATGTTCCAGCGTTGTTATTATCATTGACGTCGACGATCCGTTCATTGTTGTTCACACGAGAGTCCGTCCGTCTTCTATGTCGGCCGAGGTGCTCGCTCGGCTGCCATCGGCCAGGCATTTGACATTTCCCAGCCTGCACGCCGAGAGGCTTTTCGTCGCGGGATCGCGGTCTAGCATCGGGAACAACCTTGGGACACGCTCGGCACTTTGCGTTGCCGCCGCGAGCGAAACTGGCAGATCGAATCGCGGCGAATTCGCCGGCATCGACCGCCTCGAAGCCTGTCGCGATGTTCGCGACGCTGCGTTCGCACGAGCACCCACGGAACTGTTTTTTCGACGATCGTAACCTTCGACGTTGACCTCTCCGCCGTGTGTCACGTGCGACGAAATCCGGGCCGCCCGAACGAACGGCTCTGGTCCCGCCGTGACGGTCGTGATTTATTGCCAGCCGGATCGCCGCTCGTTAAGGCCCGCGACGATTAATCACGGCTCGCTGGGTCCGCTTTTGTTTATCGGCTCGCGACACTCGCCGCGGATGATCCCGCGCGACGCGACAACGGAGCCTTGGGAGAATCGCGCGGCGCAGCGACCCGGGAGAAAAATCATGTACCCGGAGAAGAAATTAACGATCGTCGCCACGATCCTCGTTGTTCGCCGCAATTAGCGCGAACGAGGGGGGACCACCCGCGTTCCCCGAACGCGATGAACACCGCGCCGTGAAATAGAGCAGTCGTTCGCGCGCGATCCTGTTGCGGCTGTTACGCTCCCCGGGAACGTTACGTTGCTCGATCGAATCGCCGCGGGAGCGAGTATTTTTTCAAGTTGAATTTTTGATATATATTCGTCAACGTAGCGGGTAGAACGCGAAGCAGAAGAGCGAACGGTCGGTGATCGATCGCCGATCGGAACGCTGTCGAAAACCGTCGCCGCTTGTTCGTTGAGAATCGTTTCATTGTTGCCGATATACACACACCACGGAAATGTTAACTCGTGCGTAATTTTTGAACAGTCCACTTTTAGATTATCTTTGATATCATCGTAGCCGAGAGTAAACAAAAGAACTTACGCTAGAAGCGTTTTCGCATTTGCCCGCGCGCATATCAGTTCCGTAGCTTTTCGGAGCGTGTGTCGCGTTCGTCGAATCGCACGAACGCGACCGCCGTTCCGGAGTTCCCGCACGTTCGAATCGACGCGGAAGAGAGCAATTTCGAGGCTCGGAGACGGTATCCGCTGATTCTCACGGTGCATCGGCAACGCGGGCTCGGAATTCGGCGGCTATTGATTCAGCGCGCTGCATCGTCTTTCTTTGATCGCTGATTAAATACGGCATTATTGCGCAACGCGATACAAGCAACGCAGCGGAAGCACGTCGGGCCGTTACTCTTGCGAGACGCGAGCTCGTTAATCGCTCGGAGCACCCCGATAAATCGACGCATCGAACCGCTCGACGGTTCTTCGAGTTCACGGCGGGCCACGATTTTACGAGACAACGTCGTCGGCTCGCCCATTGAACTTGCCTCGAGAAGCGTGAGGCTATTTAAGACGGCTAAAACCGATGTCTCAGCTGATACATCGATTAGAAAATTCATCAGCCTCCGGGGGCAAGAGCAAGCACGCTTTGAGACGACGCCGATCAGCGACAGAAAGAAGAAGTAGGAGACCAGCCGGTCGCAGTTTCCACGCCGGTCGCGTATTTTCGGGCACGATGGAGCGGAACGGTGCCGCGCGTTATCGGCACGATCGCCTCGGAACGGTCAGCGAGCCGTTCGCGTACGACGACTGGACGCACCGTGTTCCCGCGAGGTAATTCGCGATGTGACAGGATCGAGGATCGACGACCGCGATTCGTGTTCGTGGGGGCGACGCGGACTGACTCGTTTCGGGACTGAACGCGATCCGGGATCGGAAACGAAGGCAAAGTGAAGTTTCCACCGAGAAAGAAAGACCACCGGGCGAACGAGTCGGCGTTCCGTCAGCTGTTCGCCCTGTTCCATCAGCGGAAGCCTCGGGATCCCTTGCAAGGGCAGAACGCTGCCTCGGCGGTACCCTTGCTCGACATGGGCGCCAGAGCTTGGGATTACGAGGCACTGCCGGAGCTACACACTTCGACGGCCGTCACGCCGACCTCCACGCCTCCAAATGCCCAGCAGAAGGTCCACTCGCCGAGGGTCTACTTCCAGGCGGAGAATATCGCCTCCACCAGGAGACGGAGCAGCTCCAGGCTACTGGCACCGCAGTCCTCCTGCAGGAGGCGCAGCAGAAGCATGAGCGCGTGGAGCGACCTGTCCAGGTCGTCTTTCAAGCTGGACGAAAGGTATGTTACGATTTCTCTCGGCATCGTCGGTTTAACACGTTGGCTGCCGCGCGAATTTTACGCGACTTGCCCAAGGCGCAAATTTTTCATTATGCGATGCATATTATATGTTGAAATATTATTTACAGCTGATAAGTTTAGTTGTATAAGCTTGTTTTATGCATTTTTCGTGGCGGGGGTCACCGGTGACCGGACCAAGGCGCCGCAGACCATTTTTGCGATTGTATTTCAATCTCCGAGTTTAGGATGAAGTTAGCGATGTATTTAGTGAAATGTTCTAATGACGAAGATTGCACTTCACCAAGCAATTACGTACAGAAAGAAACGTCGTCGTGAACTTGAAAGGGAACCGGGAAGTATGCGAAATATAAGGAAACATGGAAATTGCCTTATGAAAAAAATGCAAAACAGCTAGGAAGAATGAGAGCAAAGAATTGCACTAAGATAGTGGCGACATATTGTGCTGACTGTTATGGTTCACCTTTTCTGTGTTTCAATGTGTTTCATCGTTATGCGCACAAATAACATGTATATTTTCCTTGTTTTATTATATTATTAATAAAATTAACACATTGCGGACGGGTCACGAGATATCTCGTTTTCATGTTNTTGCCACGCAACAGGAATTTCAACAATACCGCGGCGTGGAAACAAGCTTCACCGGATGGGAAAGCTTTTTTAATAGGAACGATAGAGTTTGTGGAACGTCGATAACTCGCTGAAATGAAATTGTTTAGAGGCACTCTTTGTCGTATTTTCTTTAAAGGTATGTGTGTGTGTGTTGAAATTAATTATGGTAACTTTGAGTTTTCTGGCTAGTAGACTGCGGAAATTAACACATTGCGGACGGGTCACGAGATATCTCGTTTTCATGTTTTTTTTATTTAATCGGCAACTTAAGCAACCAGCCGCAAATATTTCTGTTACGTAACCATGGTAACGAAGCCTCTCGCATTCCTAAGTAATTTTAGCGAAACAAATGAATCATTCCAAATATCACACTCTAAATCAATATTCAAATTTGTATAATAAATAATAGTTAAAATGTAAAAAATCTTATATAATAAACAGATATATAAACTATGTATATATAGTATTATTTAAGAATACTAAATGCACAAATTACAAATGCGCGTATCCGCTTCCTGTTACTTGCCAAGCATGTTTTTGGAGCGTT